AAAATCACGCAAGAATCCATCTTTCCAGACTCCGATCTGTGTGTGTGTGGCTGGTGCAGTGGTACCAATCAGCACCCTTCGAGGAAATACAGGCAGCTAACAATGCTGGTTAGCGCAGATGCTGCGAGCATCAGTTACATCAGAACGTTTCATTGATGAAGAGAAAAGAACAGCACTGAAGGCTTTTCTTGATGGAGGAGATGTTTTGGCTCTTCTCCTGACTGGCTTTGGTGTGAGTTTGACTACCTTATATGGTTCATTGATCCGAGTGGTTTCAGTTCACCCACGATGATAGATCATTCATCCAATCACCTGCCGACTATTTTTAAATTGCCTTGTTGAAAACAGTTTTCAACGACAACTTCCCAGATGGTTCTGTGTAACAAGCCATTTAGCATAGTCAGGTTAGTAAATTCATCGACACCAAAAAAAAGGTAAATGGCCCTCTCCATCAAGCACCTGACCAGCTGTGCCCGATGAAAGAAAGTGGACTTGTATCAAATATCAGTTCTACAGCCACAAAGAAACACATCACACAACCCAACCCTAAAATGTGTTCAGATCTTGACTGTTGCAACCAAACCAAAAAAACAGGAAAATCTGGCCTAAAGGCCCAGTTACTAATCCGATACCATCTTAACAGGGGGTGAATGACTGGCAGCGCAGATCAGTATTTTCCATGCTCCGAGTACAGTCTAACAAATATAGCCTAATCCTCAGTGCCTGTCACTCAGCCTGATTTGGGCTCAATCTCACTGGCCACCCTACAAGAATGGAAGGATCTGGTGAGTCAGTGAGGGAGGCTTCGGTTGCCAAGTGTCATGGGGGAATTAGTGCTGGCCAGAGTGCACGTAACATACACAAATATTTCTCCCTCTTTCTCTTTTCCTGTCAGTGTTTTGCCACTGACGCCCCACACAATCTGCTGACAAGAGTTAACACATCCTTGTAACAATAACATCTGAAATAACTATGAGAATATGAGGAAAATATGCTGCAGATAGCGCAAACTCAGGTTCTAAACTCTGTGCTCACAAATGTGCTGCCTATTAGGTCCATAACAGTAGATAAATAGATATTATTCATATAGCCAACTGGAAAACTAAAAAAAGATACCTACAAAGCAGTTGTGAAACGTGAATGTAAATTAAATTACTCACCGATGCCGTACGCTTTGGCAAACAGCCACCGCAGGTTGGCAGCTATTTTTGCTCTGGCGGAGTCGTACATCTCCAGTGGTACGACATCCATTGTGCCTTCTGCAACCCCGGTCAAATCCACTTTTCTCCTGGTACTGTCCCCGCCAGCACGCAAATCAACATCCATCCTTAAAGCATAAAAATAACCATGCTGTTACAATCACAATTATACTGAACATACTGCTGTGCTGAGTAACAGGACATTAGCCATCCACAGTCTGACAAGTGGCAATTCTCACAGAGATGGCTTGTGTGAGTGGCTGAAAGCTCTATTAAGACTGATTCTTTCATAAATAATGGAATAAAATCCTCATCTGGAGTTAGTTGATTATTAAGGAAAACACTGTTTTGGGTGGAGCTGTTAATCATCCCGTAAGTGGTCGATTAGGCATACATCTGGTGGTTGAGACATAAGCACCAAAGTAGCATCCTCGCAGGCATGATCACATTCATTATGTCAAATGCTTGATAACAGAGTGGAGACCGGGTCTTTGCAGTAACTAGTGCTTAAACGAACCTACAGTAAGGCCATGGTGACTGAAAACAGTGCTCAATACAAGAATAAAACTGTCTGGTCATTATTATGTACATTGTGGCAAGCACATTGGGTACTGTACTAGTCCACTACTGCACAGCGATACATATCTGATGTTGGTCAATGACTTTTTCCTACTCCCAATAAATGATCACATTAGATGTTAGATGATAGTCGTTTTGACTCTAGTAGCACTAGTTGATAAAGCTAACTACTCCCACGGCCCATTGATAGAAAGACCTCATATTCTGCAACAAAACTGACAGCTTCCCAAACTGGACTCACAACTAAAGACTGCATTTTTCCTCTGCTCCCTGTGCCCCGTCTCTTCCAACTCTGTTGATCAATCCAGGTCATTTATTGTTCTTTGTCAGCTCTCTTCCAAACCATTTTGTAACTTTGTTTTGAAAAAGTGCTAGGGAATTAAAAACGATCATTACTACTCAGGACCGTGTCCACTGAGCGAAGCAGACTTATGTTTCTAATCAGTGACCACATCAAATCCACAGCACTTTCACTTTCAATGGCCCTGCATTCAGCCCGAGGTCTTGCTTCCAAGTTTCCATTTCTGTGGCCACTTTTTTTTTGTTGTTGCTATAATTCAACACTGAACATACATTTCCTACTGACATTTACAATAACCGAAGCACTAATAACATTTCTAATGCAAAGATAGGATGGCGATTTTGAGCAACAACAACAACAAAAAAATAAAAAAACAAGTGCTAACACCTGCTTACACATACTATCATATCAAAGCTCTACGGAATGTAAACGTTGCCTTTATTTCGCCAGACAACTAGAGTTAAAGGTAAAGTTAATGGTTACCTGTAGCATTAACTCAACGTTACATTTTCTCACGGTTCACGGCCCGATGCTGGCTTACCGAGCAGGCTGGGTAATTGCTAATTAACTAGGTAAACTACAATTATAATGCAAGTATGCTGGTGTTATGATAACGCGGCTAACGAGCGAAAACCCCGTTAGATTACACAGTACACATTTGCCTAACATTATGTTAAATCAGCTAGCGGGTAGGTGGCCATGCATGCAGATGTAAAGCAGCTAACTAACCCGGCTAACTGTTAGCCTGTACTGTAACAGGAGCAGCACTGCATTCATCGGCCCCTAGCTGGCAACACATTACCTTGAAAGGTGTGGTGTGTTTCCAAGTCACCCTTCAGCTCCGTCGGGTTGAGCACTTAACCAAGGACCTGGCTCGCTTTACAGGGGCCTGCTGTATAGAAAATACACCAGCAGCAGCGACGCATCATAGCCAGCTAAGTTAATAATGCTAGCAGGGAGGCGAGTCTGAATGGTCTCCTCCCAGCAACGAGACCCGATTCGCGGCCTGTGTGCCAACAGCTCCGCGGCAGTCTTTCAGCAGAAACAACCAGCCAGGGGGAAAGGGAGGGCTCTCCAATGGAAGAAACACGACGCACAGACGCTCTTCTGTTTTGAAAATCTACCTCTGTACTAAACGCCTCATGTTAGTTGACACACACACACATATCTTGGCGGTGGTGTGTTCGCGCTCTGCCCATAGAAATGTAATTATCGTCCCAGGCTTCGTCTAAGCAACGACTGCGCATGCGTGATTACCTTCCAGACTGTTACTAGCAATAATGATCTGTCATGTCGATAATAAACCAACCAGTAACGCACTCTCCTACTTGTATTTAATTCCTTTTTTTAAGCTCAAACACAGACCTGGCTCAGTTTCTGGAATCTTCAGAATCTGCTTAGTTTTGGATTTACCTCCACTTGTTTTAACCACTAGGCCAAGAGCATTAGTTTGACAAGTTGTCTGAAACCACGATGACCAGTTGTTACTTCCTAAATGATTTCAATATTAACTTATCACACTACATGCAGTGCACGTTTTTAATTGTGACAAGCCTGTGTTGTCCTTATGACATTGACCAATGATGACATCTAGTGGTGAGATGTGGTATCAGAATTTGAAGCGTTTCTGTGGTTTCGCAAAGCAACATTAATTTGTATGCAATCAACAAACAAAATAGCTGTTAATAACTTTAATAAGTGTGTTTAATGTCCACTGATAAACGTCTGTGACTGAACTAAAATTACAATACTCAGAATGTAAATTATAATGTGGTCTGCCAATCTGATGACATTGAGTTGCTACAGTCAGACATAAAAGCAATAGAATAATAATAATAAAAATAATAACAACAACAATAATAATACTGGTGATAATAATAATAATAAAATTATACATCAGCAAATCAAGCCACAGATGGGAATACTTCTGCTATACAATGTGCAAGGGAAAAAAGCAGGTTGGCATTAGACATGAGGTCCCTGAGTTTGGTTGGATTTGTAAGATGACAACAATCTTATTACTGCTTTTATGTGGCTATTAAGATTAAGATCAGAGTAAAATATAACGCCAAGGGGATCACCACAGGTCATAGGAGTCCAATTAATATTTAGGAAGTTTAATTTAGGTAATTTTTTACAAATATAACATGCATACAGATGAAGAAATCCATTTATTACATAAAGCAATATATACATTTTCATCAAGTGCAACGGCCACATTGTGTAATAACCACCACGTTTAATAAATTATTACAAAAGACAGGGAAATGTATTACATATTGCACTCATACTGTTTATTACAAAATGTGGCAGATTGTTACAAAATGTGGGTGTAATTACACAATGAAGTCAAAATAGTTTTTGTCGAGTAATGTGGTATTATATATTTATTACGTTGTGTTGAGTTATTACATATTCACACACTTGATTTTGGTATCTAGTCATTGAGGATTTTATGTGACCAGCCAAATAACAACAAAACTATATGCATGGCCATAATAAACATGAATAATGGCCTTAAGATGGAATGTAGAGGGCACCCAGATAGGTCACCTGATAGAGCTGCAGCAGCCCAGGGTTCAAATAAGACCTGTGGCCCTTTGCTGCGTGTCATCCCCTCTCTTTCTCCCCCTTTCCTGTCACTCTTCAGCTGTCACTATCAATTCAAGGCAATACAATCCCCAAAAAATGGAATGTAGAACGTGTCAACAGAATGCCATGATTATAATGTCACTCCATTCTGCTGCGCACTACTTGTTGGACACACACAGACACTGTTGGTACACTTATTCAGTTACATTGAAGCCAAATGACCAGGAAGGTGCAGCCACTTCTTCAGGACAATAAAATGGACAAAGACAGATCACCTTTCTCCGTGCCTGTCCTGGAATCTGTGTGGTCCCAAAGGATTCATGTCATTGAGAAGCTTTCTGATAAAGAGGAGATTGATGATATTAAAGAGGAGATTGAGGAGATTGAAGAGAAAATTGAGGAGGTTGAAGAGAAAGTTGAGGAGGACACCTTGGATGAGGTTCAGGACCTTAAAGAGCAACCTCAGGAGAGCATCATGCAGGAAGTTCGGAAGAACTCCTCTAGCACAGTAGAAGACTGCTACAGTCCCTACGAAGAGGTACCACATAAACATATGTTCACGCACACATCAGTGCAGTAAGATTTTTTTATTTTATTTTATTTGAATGCTGTGCTGAAATAAATGTAAACCAAAGGCACACTGAAGGTTGTAAAAATGCGGACTGGTAGAGAGTGTGACCCAATCTAGACTTGTTGATGAAACAGATTTAATGCATTTGATCTTTGGTGATGTTCATCATATATTATTGAACACATTTAAATGATTCTGTTCACAAGCATCCGAGTAAAATAAACATGACAGACTAATAATGTTTTATGTTTCACAGACAGAGGAATCTGAGATATCTGAGAAATCTGCTGGTCTTCAGGAAGCTGTAGAGAAGGTGAGAAGAGATAAAGCTGCTCTTAAAGAGGCCTTGAAGAAGGAAGAAGCCTTGATGAAGGAAGAAGGAGCTAAAGCTGCTCTCGAAGAGGCCTTGAAAAAGGAAAAAAGAGCTAAATCTGCTCTTGAAGATGCCTTGAAGAAGAAGGAAGGAGCTAAAGCTGCCCTTGAAGAGGCCTTAAAAAAGGAAAAAGGAGCTAAAGCTCAAAAGAAAGAGGCTCATGAGCAGGAACAAAAAGAAAAAGACGCTCTTGTCAAGACTCTGCAGAAGGAGCAAGCTGAAAAGGACATCATGAGTGTTGAAATGAAGCTCATGAAGGTACTAGTGGCTGATCAAAAGAAGTCACAGAAGGAGCTCCAGCAGGAAAAAGCAAAGCTCAAAGCCACAGTCGATAAAATGACAGCTGAGCTTGAAGAGAACAAGAAGCTGTGTGGGAAGTTCCAAAATGATCTGGAGGCATCCTCTCGTCAGCATGAAGAAGAAACAGCAGAGCGTGAGAGGGTGACTTGTGCTGACATTAATGCACTGAAGGAACGTTTAACTGAGCAGCTGGAAGAAAATGTAAAGAAAGACAGCGAAATTAAATCCCTGCACTTAAATATTCAGGATCTTCTCAGCAATATTGAAGACAAGGACAATACTGTTTCCTCAGTGCAGGAGACAGTTAACCAGTGGACCTCAGACCTTGAAGAAGAGAGAAAAAAAGCATGTAAACTCCAGAGGGACTATGAGGCAGCTGTCTCCCAGCAGCAAAAGGAAGCAGACCGTCTGACTCAGGAAAACCAGCAACTGGATTTGGAGAACAAAAGTCTGCAATGTGAATTGGATGCTGCCCTGAACAAGTGGCAGCTTGATCAAAAAAAGTTTCTGGAAAACAGGGAAGCTAGCTGCAGACCTGTAAAATCAATTAAGAAGGAGAAGGCTCAGTTGTCGAGGGCTTGTAAAAAGATAAAAATGCAAAAGGAAGAGCTTTCTAAGAAGACACTGGCTTTAGAAAAGAGTCTGACCACAGAGAAATATCTACGGTCATCTCTCAAAAATGAGAAGAGGCGCTTTGAGCAGATGGTTTTCCAAAAGCAGGCTGCAGTCGATCCTCTAACAATACTCAGTAACCAGCTGAGAGAAGCATCTGCGTCCTCAGAGCGGCTGATGTACGACATGCAGACATTGAGGATGGCGAACGCAGACATCACAGTTAAATTCAAGGCCATGGAGACAGAAAATGACAGAATGAAATCCAAACACCGCTCCCTCTCTGAGCGACATGAAGAGACGATGTCAAAGAAAAATGAAACCATCTCTGAGAATAAATGTACCATTGCTCAGCTCCAGTGCATGGTAGAAGGACTCAATGCACAACAGTCAGAGAGCAGGAGACCACAGCCAGAACTGGAAGACAGCCTAAAACAGGAAAAGACAAAAAACTTACAGTTGCAGCAGAGAGTGGATCAAATTTCCTCTGCTCTTGAAAAACTAAGGGCCACGTGTGAGAATCAGCGTGTCGAGCTCAAGGAAGCTTTGACCAAACAGATTGAAACTCTGAAGGAAAGGCAGAAACTCGCCGTGGCTCTACAGAAAGCCGAGGACAGCTACTCCAGGCTTCAGGGCCAACAGCTGGCAGAGTCAAACTTTCAACTGAGACACATCAGTGACACTGAGATCAGGCTCAACGAGCAGAAAACTGCCCTGCATGAGAGCACAAATGCTCTACACCACCTGCAACAGGAATACACTGATCTCTGCAATAGACACGGTAACATCAATTCTCAGTATCGCGAGCTGCTTAAAAGTCACACTGCCCTCCAGGTCAGATATGAGAGTCTCAGCTATGCACAGGTTAAACCCCGACCGGAGTTCAGTCCACCTCAGTTCAATGCAACTAATTTCTAAAGATCCTCTATCATCAAGTGACAGGACTGTGGAGCCGTTTGTTGTTGTGTGTAATACTTGTGCGTGGCAATGTCAAAATAAAATATGCATACATAAACAAATATGTATTTATTATGCTTATTGGACACAGTGGCACCATACCAAAGGGCAGCAAGAAAATTGTAAAAAAACAAGAAAGGTGTAGTTGAGAGAAACATCTCAGTGCAAGGTCTTTTTATAGCATAACACATGAGAACTAAGATGATAAGTAAGAAGAGTTGGAGGAGTGGGAAAAAATCAATCAATTAATTAGGATGAATGGGACTGAAAAGTTAAATAAATCACATAATGTACAAAAGATGTGGAACATCTTAAGTTGCTATCTGAAAGTATGAATGAGCAGATACGACTTGAAACTTCAAACTGCACTAATAACCAGCTGTATGGCCTAGTCAGAGGTTGCCATGGTCATGTTAACTGCTAACTGCTGCTGGCTCAGAGAGTGAAAATAATGAAGTCTACCCTTTCAGACTGCTTCTACCTCAAAGATAGTAACTCATATCGCCCAAATGGTGATAATCTAGGATACAGGAGACCCTGCTGCTGCTCACACTGTGTAAAATGTGTTTGTAGTCAAAATGTGAGCACTGTAGCAGGTAAGAAAAGTGTCGGTTTCTGCTTCCCTTCGGAACTTTGTGCCCTCAGTTAATATGGGAGCCAATACAGCACTTGCATTTGCTGCTAGGAGGCTTCTTGAGCCAAAAAAGATGAAAGACATCTTCTACAATAAAAAATATTGAAGATTTAAACACCTTTCAAGGATATGGAACATAAAATATAATATTTTCAGCAAACATTCATGCATAGTTATGTTTTATGTCATGAACTGAAAATAAATAAATACATCACTTGCATTGCTGGATATTAAAACTCTGCAGTCTGCTAAATCTTCCTGCAGGTTTTCTGCTGCATTGTGGCCATCAATAACTTTATAATTTACAGTCTTACACAGCTGCTTAGAGGAACCCATGGTTACTGAGTGCTCGCTCAAGATTAAAAAAAAAAAATAAAAAAGTATTTGTAAAGCTTTGAAACTGGCACCACCTGATGCTTCAGAGGCAGTGTTTACATTTTTCAATTAAACACCAAAAATATATCAATATGTTAAGGGTAACATACAACTGTATGTGCACGTGCAAACACACTATTCACACCTTTTCACAGCACATTTTGACACTGTAGGAAATGTAAGGTGTGACTAATAACATTAATTTTAATAAGCCCCTGAAGAGGAAGCAGCTATGCAGAATTCCACCATTATTCATTTTGTAATTTACACCTATGCTATGTGACATGTGGAAATGTCTCCTGTGAGCCTTTGTGGGCTTCAAAATGACCTCCCTCTAAACGTGGAACCTGTCCTTGCTGATAGTTCACCATCATTTGCCTAAAGAAAAACACAGAGTCCAGAGAATACAGCCACAAAAAAATAACTTTAATGCAATAGTGATTTAGATGCCAGCCGACATGAGGCTGTTTGAATGAACAGACTGTGAGAGTATATTGCATAGGTTGTTAATCCGGGACAGTCCTGCATGAAAGCTGAGTGAAAATAATAACCTGTGACTCCAACAATTCTTCAGTGTCCCTAAGCAATATAGTTCATTTTGATCTTTTCAGTTCCTGTTGACCATTTGTAAAGACAAGATGTCTGCATTTTCTGTGGACCTATTTTTTTTACATGTACATGTATCTCCCAATGTTTGTTTCGAGATGTAACAGGACAGCATTGTATGCGTGCCAATGCAAAGCATGGAGGTGGTCACCGTGGCCATGATGAAGGTCCACTGCAGTGCAGAAAGTGTGCTGAGAGGTTTCCAGAGACATGTAGAAATCATCCTTCATTCAAGCATGTTGCACTACTTTAAACCACACCGTGACCTACCAGTCCATGAGCACATTTCTATAATGGTTTGTAAAAACAACATTTGAATCATTTATTTTTTTTTCACATTTGTAGATTAGCTTTGAGGTTTGCTAAAAATGTTATAAATAAAAACAAGTTACTAGTTTGGCTTTGATATAAATAATGTAATAATACAGAGTTCAAACAGACACTTCTCTCTAAAAACATTTAAATATTTTCAAATATTGCATTTACGAAACCATGTCTTGTGGTGCTCTTATTCATAAGTAAAGTTCTAGACAGATTAGTTAAAGCCATTTTCAAATGCCAGACTGAAGGGGGTGAGCAGAGGTTTGCCATGACGACAGGTTTAGAAAAACAATCTCAGCCTCCCTGAGCAGAAAGTCACATCAATACCACATTTTTAAAATATTGAATAAAAACACTCAAAAGCTTGGCAAAACACACCACCCTCCATTTTAACTCTCGGCACAACCGGGAGAGGCTACGCTCACCTTCTTGTAGCTGGAGAATTTAAGTACTCAATGCAAAGGCTAATATTGTGTAACACACTACCCATTGCAGTTCACACATCTCTAACACTCAAACCAAATATAATTCTTTACAGGTCAACAGAAGTCCTTGCTATTGCACAGAAATACGGGATTTTTTTTCAATGGGTACATCTAAAGACAAGGCAGGTTATATAGTGACATTTTGGTTTGGTTTGACAGCATAAATGTTCATTGCTCTCAAAAGAAAAAAGTAAACCAAAAGACCAACACTGGTTGCATCTCAAATTCCATTATCTCTTAAAATGTATGAAGATGCTTGCACCTTCGCAGCAAGAAGTGAGCTTGCCTCTTCATCATTCAAATTAAGAGGTTAAAAGGCAACCCCTTTTTGATTAGGCTCAGCTTCATTTATCATCCCAGTACAGCCTTTTGAGACAAAACGAACCCTTTTAACTTCCTCAGTGCTGCAGTGAGTGATATTCATAGAGGTGAACAAGTGCTAAATGAGCACAACATGACATTCAAGAGCACATTGACAAGTAACACACAGGCCTAATATATAATTTTCTTGTAAAAACATGACTAAGACAAACAGTTTAGTGTACAGCTTTTGTCTAAAAGGCAAGAAAGTCAAATAAATATTCTTGAAGACACTCAAGGACAAATGTTCTCCTCTTTAAACTGAGAGGCGGGTGACTTACAGTGACCTCACAGGCATGAATGAGAGAGAGGTAATGTGTCTGAAAGCCGAATTTTCAATTAGCTAAACACTCAACTTTGACCACCAGCCTCTCAATTACAAGCAGTTTTTGATAAAAACAAGACAAAGGGGAAAGAAAAACAAAACATGATACTGACGGAAGTCTTCCACACATTCACCACTGATGACAGATGACAGACACAACTGTAATTGATATTTAAATATTGCAAAACATACAAAACTTTCTTTTCTTTGAAGTGTAAACATTAAATTGTATGCTTGATGTCATTTTTGCGCATGGAGAAATTATATAAAATAAATCATGTCTGTCCATAACTATAAATTGTTCTCATTCAAATGTAAAAACAACATACTAAATCTCATTTTTTTTTATTATTACTGTAATAATGTTTATGTTAACATTTGTTTTGTATAAGTGTATTTACTGTACTGTTATAAATAGTTATATGTAGAACATCTTAATTCATACTTTGCCTCCTCCAGCTTTGTCTTTACAAGGCAAAAACAATACTTGTGTCTCTGCCACACACACACACACACACACACACACACACATCCCAATATGGTCAAACATACACACAAGCTGCCACAGTCACACAGGGGGTCACCGGGAGGCTCTATGTGCGATTGAGGGTCTGGAAGATTCTGGATATTTGGAGCATGACAGGGCCAGTCTCAGGGTCATTCATCCATTGGGTGCTGTTCAGAGGATTCTCCAACATGTCTTCAAATGCTGCACACAAACACAGGGCACACTGGTAAGAGATATATTCAACATAACCAGCAGCCTTTAAAAAAGGCTTTTGAATTACATGTAAAAACATTGTCTCTCCTATACTTTGTACTCTCAGGGTACTTTCCCACCTAACCTGTTTACTTCAGTTCAAACCAACTGTGGTGCGTTTGGCTGTTGTTAAGGCTGTCAATCAAACTCTGGTACAGACCACAAAAAATGGAGGTCAGACTTGTTTCCTACTCTACTCTGGCTATTTTAGTAGTTCCAAAATAAAGTGCAACATAGCGAATATTACAATCCAAAAGGCCTCTCTTTTTGGCCCTGTGTCTATCTGCTCATCACTAGTTATGATACAAGAAGTCTAGTTACAGTGTTGACCGATGATGCTCATAATCAGTTACTTCTTTATGCTAACTTCTCTAGATTTGTTTGTAAAAAGCCAGAGTGAACACAAATCAGACAAGAACTAAAATACAACAATGTACGGTTATGGTCCCTTGGTCTGGACCAAATGAACTGTACTATAGGTATGAAAGTGCCGTCAGATGTCACACAGTTAAATATACACCGATCAGCCATAACATTATGACCACCTGAGCACCCTGGTTCTCCTTCGCTCCCCATGTACATCATTGAGCTTTTGCCACCCATGACCCCGTCTCTGGTTCACCGCTTTTCCCTCCTTGGACCACTGCAGACGAGGAACACCCCACAAGAGCTGCAG